CCCCGGCACCCCCAGCAGCCCTGGCCCCGCTCACCCCGGCCCCGGGACACTTGGGCAGTCGCTGCCTGCGCCGGCTGTGAATTAAGTTTTCCGGCTTGCGTGCGGTGACGGGGCTGGGATGGGCTCCAGCCCCCCTAGAGCCACCCCCGCCATGGCGCCGGAGCAGCCACATGCCCGGGGAAAGCAGCCGGGGTGGCACGGCCGTGGCGCGGGGCTGCTGCTGCTGCTCCCCCGTGTGTGCTTGGATCCCCCGCACTCCGGTCCCGCTGCGGCGTCCCGAGGGGAAACTGAGGCACCACCATCGTGCGGATGCTGCGCATCCCTGCTGGCTCCAGCTGCGATGTTTCCCTGCAAGAGGCCTTGGTGGGGCTTCTGGGAATGGCACGGAGCCACGTGGAGATGGCCGGTCCAACGGGACACCTCATCCTGGGGTGTGCTGGGATGGGAACCCCTTCCTCCGGTGCCAGCCACGGGGAGCTCGGGGTGGGGACGGTGCGGGCTTCGCATCCCTCGGCCTTCCTGGCCCCCTTCCCGAGGTGCCGCGGCCCCCACGTTTGTCCCGGCTGCGGTGGTGGGTCTGGGAAGGGAGGACTCGCATCCCACCCATCCCCTCCCATCCCATCCCGGGTGTCTCCAGCCCCTGCCAGTAGCGCTCTCCCGGCGATGGCCCCAGCGCGGCCGGATTCCCGGCTCCCGGGGAGGAATGTGCCGGGGGGTTCCGGACCCCGCCCGCCGGGGCCGCTTCCTCTTTCGGCGCTATTTAAGCGGCTCCCGGCGGGTCCCGGCCGGCCGGGCCATGGAGCGCATGGAGGTGACCGAGACCTTTGCGGGCATCGCCCTGCCCGGCCACCTCCACACCCAGGAGTCCCTCGGCTTCGCCGCCGCCTTCACCTTCCGCCCCACCGACGTGCTCATCGCCACCTACCCCAAATCGGGTGAGGGGATGGGGGGACACGGGGACAACGAGGGGACGCGGCGGGACAGGGCTGGGACCCCGGCCTGGAGCGGGGCGGCTCTTCCAGAGCTGCCGGCGGGGCTGGGAGGTGGCCGGGCTTGGAGACACCCGCACCTGGTCCCCGCGGCCACTCAGGGCAGGTCCTGTCCCTGAGCTCCTGTCCTGCTGCCGGACTGTCCCCAGCCCTGCGCGGGTGTCCCTGGGGGCTCGGGGAGGGGGGACACGGCCCCGCCAGCCCAGCCGCTGCTGCAGGAGCGGGGATGGGACGGGACAGGCTGAGCCGTGCCTTGCGGTGCCAATCCGTGCTGCCCGTGCCAGTGCGGTGCCATTCCATGGTGCCACACCCTGACATCCCCCTCTGCAGGCACCACCTGGATGCAGGAGATCCTGACGCTGCTCTTCAGCCTTGGAGATGCCCGCCCAGCCAAGACCATTCCCAACTGGGAGCGGGCGCCCTGGCTGGAGCAGATCTACTGCCGGGAGGCTCTGAGGGACACCGGGACCCGCCGGCTCCTCACCACCCACCTGCCCGCCCACGTCCTGGCCCCCGCCCTGCAGCGCAGCAAGGCCAAGGTGCGAGGGGTCCCCGGCGGTCTGGGGGTTCCCTGCAGGGACATCCCACACCCACCGGGCTTCCCACAGCCGGGGAAACGCTGGGGGCTTTCTGAGCGGGGCAGAGAGGAATCCCCCAGCTGTGGGGGTGACACTGTGTCCCCCCAGGTGATCTACGTGGCCAGGAACCCCAAAGACGTCGCTGTCTCCTTCTACCACTTCCACCACCTGGCCAAGTTCCTGCCCGACCCCAGCTCCTTCGATGCCTTCCTGAAGCAGTTCCTCGAGGGCACAGGTAGGGATCGGGGGAGTCTGTGGGGGGGGGACTCAGCCTCAGGGCCCCCCGTTACCCCCCGCCTCCCCCCAGTGCACTACGGCTCCTGGTTTGACCACGTCAAGGGCTGGCTGGGCCAGCGGCACCTCCTGGACATCCTGTACGTCACCTACGAGGAGCTGCACCAGGTGAGCCCCGCTGGGTCCCCGTCCCTGTCCCCACTGGTGCCCCGTCCCTGTCCCCGTCCCCGCTGGTGCCCGGCGCTGACCGTGCTCCTGGCCCAGGACCTGCGTGGCACGGCGCAGCGCCTCAGCGGCTTCCTGGGCTGCCCGCTGGCACCGGCCACGCTGGCAGCCCTGCAGCAGCACTGCAGCTTCTCCGCCATGCGGGACAACGCCATGGCCAACTACTCCCTCATCCCCGCCGAGATCATGGACCACAGCCAGGGCCGCTTCATGCGCAAAGGTGAGGGGGAATCGGGCTGGGGGACGCGGGGGGCGCGGCTGCAGGGACCCTCACGCCCTGTCCCCTCTGTCCCACAGGGGTGGTGGGGGACTGGCGCAGCCACTTCTCCCCCGAGCAAAACGCCCTCTTCAACCGGCGCTACCAGGAGGAGATGGGGGACGTGGAGCTGCCCTCGCAGTGGCCCATGGCCTGAAGGACCCGGGCTCTGGGGGGACGCTGAGCCCTCACCTGCTGAGAACCTCATGGAGACCCTGCAGGGACCCCCTCAGGCACCCCATAAAACACCCCCTGTGTCACCCCGGCACCAGGGGGTCCCACGGGGCTGGGGGTCTGGTGTGGGGCGCCGGCACCATCCCACCTCCCTGGGGACAGGGAGCTTTTCCGGCCATGCATTGTGGCCATCCCCGTGGCCTCGCTCCCCCCGGCCAGGGCCGTGACCCCCCCTTTCCGCCCATCCCGCCCTGTGGAAATAAATATTTATTGCTGTTCCCAGGCAGGCAGCTGTTCCCATGGGTGTGAGGCGGGAAGCAGCGCAGGCAGCTGGAAGAGCTGCTGTTATCAGGAACACATTGGGGTGGGGACACACGCCGGGGACCTTATTATCAGCGGCTGGGGGCAATGACCGGGGGTGGCAGCACGGCCTGGGGTCACAGCAGGGAGACAGCAGAGCTCCTGGCACGGAGCTGGCTCCTTCGGCAGGGCCCAGAGCCCTCCACCCCTGGAGTTTCCCTCCCAGCAGATCCCCTTCCAGTGCCCCCTGCCTCGACTACCCTGGTTGGATGCTCCCCTCTCCCCACCTGGGGTGTTTGCTCCACACCCCCAGCACCCTGGGGTGTCCCAGGCAGGCAGCCCCCCGAGCCCCCCGGCACACAGAGGCTCAGTCAATAAATAACTGCCTTCCTTACCCTGCCCTGCAGGGTGAACAGGGTCGGGGCTTGGCCCTGGCACCAGCAGGACCCCTGGCTAGGGCTGGGGCTGGCTGAGGGGGGAGGTGGTGACACTCTCCTTGAGGAGGCACAGTGGGACAGTGGCACCGGTGTCCTGCCCCTCCTGCCCCCTCTGCTAGCCTTGTCAGCCCTGCCACCTCTGCCAGCCCCTCCTGCGGGTGGGGCAGCCCAGCGAGGTGTCTCTGGGCACTCCCAGCCCCGTGGGGTCCCTCTGCACCCACCCTGGGGCACCCATCCGTCCCCAGGACTGGGGTGCCAGGGCAGCTCCTGCCCGCACCAGGAGCGGCCCCTGCTGCAGCCTCGCAGGCGCCAGGTTTGGGTTTCCACGGCAACATCCATGATCCCGCCTGAAGGGAGATGAATCAAGAACTATAAATAGGTGCTGAAGGGGGTGCAGGTACTGCACCCCGCCCGGGCCTTGTGCTGCCCGCGGTGCCCGAGGGCCAGCAGAGCCAGCCCGGTGAGTGACACCCATGTGGGGACAGCCTGGCACCTGTACCTGTGCCAGGGACACGGGCAGATTCCTGGAGCCCTGCCCAGTGGCACCCACATGGCAGCTCTCAGCTGGCCCCTACCCCATGAGGCTGTGCCAGGCCCCAGTCTCAGTCCCTGTGGTGGCCTTGGACACACCCTGCCCCTGGGGATGTCACCTTGCCAGGAGCATCTGCTGGCACCGTGCTGGCAGCATCAGCACACAGCATGTGGCAGAGTGCCCGGCACATGGCACAGCACGATGCACGGCACATGGCACAGGACACAGAACATGGCACAGCACACAGAACATGGCACAGCACACAGAACATGGCACAGGACACAGAACATGGCACAGGACACAGAACATGGCACAGCACACAGAACATGGCACAGCACACAGAACATGGCACAGGACACAGAACATGGCACAGGACACAGAACATGGCACAGCACACAGAACATGGCACAGGACACAGAACATGGCACAGGACACAGAACATGGCACAGGGCACACAGCACCCAGCACACAGCACACAGCACAGGGCACACAGCACAGGGCACACAGCACAGGGCACACAGCACACAGCACAGGGCACACAGCACGTGGCAGTGGCTGTGTGCTGGGCAGCAGGGCCCGCTCCGTTGCCGCCTCTCTCTGCTCCATGCCCTGGATTCGGGGCCGCAGCACAGCGGGGCGAGCTCTGGCACATCAAAGCCGCGGCTGCTCCGGCGCTCCCGGCACGCTGCCGGCCACGGGCACCCGAAGTGTGGGGGCTGGGGCTGCCCTCGGCTCTTGTCGCCAGGTAAGGCAGCATGATGTCACTGAGAGGGGACACGGCAGCATCCAGGACCTGCCAGGCTCTCTACCCACCCCTACTGATCCCCGGAGGGTGGGGGTCAGCACCCAGAGACAGCAGGATGGGCACAGGGGTGGTGCTTTATTGGGGGGATCATGCAGCCTCCAAATATCACAGGGACAGAGAAGCGGGGACCGAGGGGACAGAGGGGACAGCAGGGGTGGGTCTGGGCCGCAGGGCACAGAGCTCCAGGAGTGAGCAGTGCCGGGGGTGTCCTGCACTGGGGAGCTGGGACTTTCCCCACGTCCCAGCCGGGGGGGCTGTGGCAGGGCAGGGCCTGGCGGGGACCCCGACTGTCCCCACGCCACACCAGGACAGTGGGGGGGTCTCACTGGGGCACGCTGAGACTGGGGTTGGGCGCCCTTCACTGGGACAACCCAGGGCTGGGGGACACTGGGGGTCTCTCACTGGGGGAGCCGAGGCTGGGCTCGGGGGTCCCTCGCTAGGGAAAGATGAGGTTGGGGTTCGGGGGTCCCTCACTGCGGGGAGCCGAGGCTGGGCTCGGGGCTGGGGGGCCGGGGGCAGCGCGGGGGGAAGGCCTTGTAGCTGTAGTACTCCACCACCTGCTTGGGCACCTCGGCCAGCACGCACTTCGCCAGGGCCGTGGGTGACGCCTGGGGACATCGGGGACACCAGGGTGAGCCATGACATGGGGAGGGGACGGGAGGGGACGGGAGGGGAGGAGATGGATGGGAGAGGGAAAGAAGGGACGGGACAAGTCTGGGGTGGGACGGGAGGGGATGGAAAGGCACAGGAGAGGACGGGAGGGGAGGGAAGGGCCGGGAATGGAAGGCAGGAGCTCTCGCTGCCCCACTCACGTTCTTGAACTCGCGGAACGGGACGAACTGGACGATGTCGCGCAGGACGGGCTCGCCCTTGGGGGAGCGCAGGACGCCGTCGTCCCCGTCCAGGATCTGCATGTCCGTGAAGTCGGCGTTGCCCACGCCGACGATGATGATGGACATGGGCAGGTAGGAGGCGCGGACGATGGCCTCCCGCGTGTCCGCCATGTCCGTCACCACGCCGTCCGTCAGGATCAGCAGGATGAAGTATTGCTGGGGGGGACAGGGATGCTTGGGGGGCTGCCTGACCCCGCTGCCAGAGCAGCCACGAGTGTCACGAGTGTGCGAGGCCTCAGCCCCGCCCTGGCGGGGACGGTGGCACCCACCGACGCCTCCTTGGTCCGCTCCTCGTCGGCCGCCACGCGAGCCACCTTGGAGATGATGGGAGCCACGTTGGTGGGGCCGTAGAGCTGGATTTTGGGCAGGCAGCTCTGGTAGGACTCCACGACACCCTGGATGCCTGTGGGGTGTACGAGGGGTGAGGGACATCCCAGCCATGGATCCCGCCCCTCTGGAGCTGGACTCACCCTCACACTCATCATTGTCGGGGTTGAAGTTGATGGCGAAGTCGTGGGAGACCTGGAGGGAGGGAGGGGAGGGAGGGGAGGGGACAGCTGGTGCACCCCCTACCACAGCCCCCGGCATCTGCCAAACCCCACCTGTGCCACAGCCGAGGGCACCCAGAGGGACGAGCTCATCCCTGGGGTGCCACAGGGCCCTGGCAGCCTGAGACCCCCTCACCTCGTACTTGGGGGGGATCCTGGCACCAAAGCCCAGAGCCGAGAATTTCTTATCGCTGCAAGGAAAGGGGTGTGCCACCACTGAGCGCCTGTCACCAGCAGCTCTGACCCCAAGGGGGGCATCACCGATGCGTGTGGCCCCGGGGACCCCCAGAGCCACCGACCTGTCATAGTCCTGGCAGATCTCACCCACAGCCACCAGCGCCTTGAGGTACTCATTGGGCTGGTAGGGGTTGATGTAGTGCAGGGAGCAGCTGTTCCGGGGGTCCCCGTTGGAGGCCGTGAAGTCGATGGCCACCTGGTGGGGGGCAGGGGGGGCCACCAGGGTGAGCAGGGCTGCTGGAGTGTCCCTGCTGGCTGGGAGGGGAGGCCGCTGCTCACCGTGAAATGGATCTGGCAGCCGCCCATGATGTAATCCAGGAAGGAGTAAACCCTGTGGATCTTCCAGAGGGAGCCGTGTCAGGCAGCCCTGCCCCGCGCCGGCCCGTGGAGCCTCGGCACAGCCCGGCACAGGCGCTCACCTTCAGGTCCAGCAGCACCACCACCCCCGAATTCTTGTAGTTGCGCTTTTTGATCTTGTACTTGGGGTTCATGCAGTCCCACTGCACCTGTGGCACGGGCACCCGCGCTGCCTGTGGCCCCCGCCCGGGCCACGGCCTGGCCTGGCACCCCCGGCCCCGGGACACAGTGGCCCGGTAACCCTGCACCCCCACAGCCCCAGGGTGCAGCTGCCTTCCCCCACTCCCAGCCACCCCCCAGGCTCCAGCCACCCATCCATCCATGACTGATTCCCCAGAAGACCCCAAACCCACCGTCCCTTCCCCAAACAGGAGAGCAGCGAGAAGAAAATGACACCAAACCCAGAGGAGGAGCTGGAAGGTGGCTGCTAGGACAGGCTCTGCTGGCAGCACACAGGGTGACGCCCAGGCCATCCCCGTGTCCCCATGTCCCACCTTGTTCTCCCCCATCGCCTTCTGCATCTCCTCGAAGGTGGTGAAGAACTCCCCGATGAAGTCGTGCTTGCCCCGGGAGTCGTAGTCCCACACCACGCACTGCGACAGGCACGGCTCAGCCCCGGCTCCAGGGGCTCCTCAGCCCCGTTCCCAGCGCTGTGGGGTCCCCAGATGGGGAAGCTGGGGTACAGATGCCCCCAGGGCAGGAATGGGGGTCCCCAACGTTCTTCCTCACCCTCAGCTTCCTCTTCTCCTCACAGCTGCAGAGCGAGTTGAGGGAGACTTTGAAGGGCTCCCAGATGGGGCTCAGGTTGTTCTTCACCACCTGCAGGACGGGGGGCTCAGTGGGGCTGGGGAGCCCCCGGGGAGGCCGTGGGGCAGCCGAGGGCCCGGTGCCGCTGTGGCCTCACCTCGGTGCGGTACACCAGCTGCTCGCTGCGGTCATCATCGATGCGGTAGATCTCCAGGAAGGGATCTGACTTGCTGAAGAGGTCCTGGGGGAGGAGGATGAGAGAGAGCGCTGTCCACCCCGCCTGCTGTGCCCTGTTTTCCCCCCGGCCACCCGGCTCACCTTGTCGTCCAGTTTCTTGGCGCGGAAGGCAAGCTCCACGTAGCCGTTGTTCCCCGAGATCTCCTCCGAGATGATCTGAGAGGCGGCCGTGGGGTGCTCAGTGCCTGGCACAGCTTTGCCCCCCGCCCACCACCTCCCTGTGGTGCCCTGGGAGGGGACAGAGTCCCACATGCCTGCCTGGCACAGCAGGGACATTCAGGATGGCCAGTAGATGCCACCGGGGACCCTGAGCCCACCCTCAGGGGTCTGTGTCACCCTACTGATCCAGTCCAGTGCCACCTGGAGGTCCCAGTTTGATGCTGTCCCTGTATCCCAGTCCATCACACGCCCTGTCTGGTGCCATCCCAGGATTCCAGCCCCATGTCACCTGTGCACCCCATCCCGGTGCCACCCCAGTGCCCGTGCCCGGTGTCCCCCACCCCACTGTCACCCCCAGCACGGTGCTCACCGTGATCGTGGACTTGCCCGCAAATTTCCCGTACTTGAGGAACAGCGGCTTCGTCACCCGTTTCTGCGCCACGATCTGCGAGAGCCCAGGGTTGGGGAGGGGGCACCGTCACAGGGTCCCCGGGCAGGGGTCCCCAGGCTCACCTGCCCCACGGTGCACTCCATGCCCCCCAGGAAGTCGTCATCATGCGTGCCCACGCCGGCCTGGCCGTGGCTGTCGTACACCTCGAACCGCAGCTTCTGCACCTCCTCAAAGTAGTAATCGACCGTGAAGATCTTGGCGAACACGGGGTTCAGGTTGCTCTTGATCACCTCGCTGCGATCCACCTGCGTGGGATTGGCACAGGGCCTTGGGGTGCCAGAGCTCACACAGGGATTGGGGAGACAGGGATGCGGGGTGGGATGTTGTGATGGGGATGAAGGGATGGGACATGCCAGGCTGAGGGATACAGGGATGAGGAATGGGAGAATGAAGGATGAAGGGATAGGGAATGCAGGGAAGGCCCAGCTGTGCCCGAGTGAACAGCATTTGGAAGAGCCCCATGTGCCCTCCACAGCCTCCAGCCATGCCAGCCCTGGCTCTGGGGTGCTGCTCCCATGGGCTCCCTGTGGTCATCCAAGGAGACTCTGCTTTGCCACAGCTCTGCTGGAGAGGAGCAGTGGGTTGGTGCCAGGACAAGCTGCTGTGTCTGTCCTGGGGTGGCCACGCCTGGGGGTCACCAGCCCCCACCCTGGTGGCCCCAGTGGGCAGCAGGCGCTCAGCGTCTCCTGCCTGCACTGGCAGCGGGTGCTGAGCAGTTCCGGAGCCTCCCCCGCACCCGTCCCTGCCAGTGTTGACTCAAGGGGACACATCCTGGCCAGGGCACCCTGCCAGCCCCTGGCCCCTGCCTGCCCAGTCCGGCATCATCTGTCGGGCCCGCATTGCCGCCACCCTGCTGCAGCCACCCGTGTCTGTCCTGCGCGGGCACTGCCAGCCCCTCATCCTGGGGATGTGGCTGTTGGGTGCCTCAAGACCAGCAGGTCCAGCAGCAGGTCCAGGGCCATCTCGACTCCTAGAGCCAGCGGCAGAGCCAGATTCACGCACCGCCTCCTCTGGGGGAGGCAGGCTGGCTGGGACAGGAGCCACTCCAAAAGGTGGCTCAGGAGGGATTCTCTTGTCTCTTGGAGCTGGCACAGCACAGCACGGAGCGTGGCGTGGCACAGCATGGCACAGCACACAGAGCGTGGCACTGTGGCACGGCCGGGGACGAGTGTCTGGCATGGCACAGCACGCCGCGGCTGGCACGGGGCCCTTGTCCCCCCTGGCTCCGTGCTGGCTTGAGAAGAGTCGATGACACGCCGAGGGATTTAGTGCTAAATCCGCCAGCTGAGCGGCCGCGATTAGAGCCGAGCTGCCGGTACCAGCCCAGAGATCAGCGTGGGGAGGAATGGAAGGAGCCATGCCAGCCCCAGTGCCATCCCGGAGTCTGCCAGCCCCACTGCCCGCATCAGCTCCAGTGCCAGTGTAAGCAGCAGCCCTCCAGCCCTGAGCCACCCCGGGGGTCTGAGGTGTCCCTTGTCCCTGTCCCGGGGCAGTGGAGCCACTCTAGAGCCACCACGCCCCGCCCCGCTGCAGCCCCAGTGGGCTGGATGTGAGGCAGTGTTAGCATCATCCCCACAGGCTGCCCAGTGCCCCACAGTGCCCTGCCCACCCTGCATCACCCCCAGGCCTCCTTCTGCACCCTGCACCCTGTCCTGCACTGTGCACCCTGCTCTGCATCTCCTGCACCCCTGCTCTGCACCCTGTACCCTGCCCTGAACCCTGCACCCTGCTCTGAACCCTGCACCCTGCTCTGAACCCTGTACCCTATTCTGCACCCAGCAGCTCATTCATTATCTCCTGCACCTTGGTGTGAGCCCTGCACCTCGTTCTGAGCTCTGCAACCCGTCTTGCACTATGCACCCTACTATGCATCACCTCCTGCACCCTGTCCTGCATCCCTGCTCTGCACCCTGTACCCTGCTCTGAACCCTGCACCCCTTTCTGCACCCTGTACCCCATTGTCTCCTGTACCCTGAACTCTGCTCCCCACTGTCTCCTGCACCCTGACCCCTGCTCTGCACCCTGCACCTCGCCCCCCACCATCTCCTGCACCCCTCCCTGCAGCCCCCTCCATCCACCGCCCTGTGCCCAGCCTGCCCCGGGTCCCGCCCTGCCCTGCCCGGTGGGTGCCAGCCGTGCCCCCCTGCTCTCCTACCTCCATCCACTGGCCCTGGGACTGCATCAGCAGCAGGACACAGGGGTCCGACTTGTTGAGGGTGTCTCTGTCCAGGAGGTGTTTACAGCTGACCCGCAGCTCCACCTTGGAGAGCACGGCCAGCGGTGCCTGCGGGCACGGCTCGGGCACGGTGCCCATGCCGGCCGGGCGTGCCGGGGGACAGGCGGCCCCGTGTGCGAAGGGCATGGGGGGCGAGGGGGGCGGCCGCTGCCTCGGGCGCCGTCAGGGAGCCGGGCAGGTGCCCGTCATGCCCGGGGCACGGCGCCCCGCGGTGCCAGGCACGGCCCCGGTGGCAGGACAGGGACCCCCGGGACCCTCTCCGGGGCGGGGTGACCGGTTCTGGTCCCGATGGCTCCGCGGGGCCCTGCAAGGCATCAAAGCACAGTGGGGTGAGCGGGAGCACTGCCCGAGTGCCCCCAAATCCCAGCCAGCGCCATGGGCACTGCTGGGGGGGTTCCCGTGGTCCTGCAGGGCCGTGCCCAGCTCTGTCCCAGCCCAGGGGCAGGATGCGTCCCGAGGGGAAAGGGGACCTAAGTGGGGTGGGGTACCCACCCTGGGGTGTCCCATGTGGGGCTGTGGAGTGGAAACCCCTGCGGGCGGCACCCCCAGCCCGGGCAGGGCTCTCCGGAGGGGAGTGGGAACACCAACTCCGTGTCTGTGCCACCAGGTGATGGATTCCCCCTGTGCTGGGGACGCCGTCCATCCTCCCCCCGGAGGCTAACACTGAGCCAGGCGATGCTGCCGGGTCAGCGAGGGGCTCTGCCAGTCCCGGCCCCGCTCCGGGGCTTGTCCCTCCACCTGCAGGGTGCCGGGCTGGGGCAGGGCAGAGCCCACCTGTGCCCTCTCCTGCCCGGCCAAAGTTTCCTGGGGAAGTCATGCAGAGCCCAGGCCCTCCCCGGCACGTGGTGCCCCAGCTCCGGTGGGCACCGTGCCCCTCCCCGGGATCGCGGGCACCCCTTGGCATCATCCACGGCTCAGTGGAGGGGACAGCGGCTCCCACCCTGCCCATCGCCCCCTCACCTGGGTGCTGGCGGCCAGGGCTGGGGCACGGCGGGGCAGGGGCTGCCTGGGGGTGCCGGTGTGCCCGGTGTGCCGGTGTGCCCGCCGGAGCTGCTGCCGCTGCCACCTCCACACAACTGACTCAAGCTGCAGCTCGGGAGCGGAGCCCTAAGAGGGAGATGGATGACAAGCTCCGTTAACTGCCTCGCTGCCGGCTCCGGAGCGGAGCCCACCCTGCACCGGGGCTGAGCGGGGTCCCCAGGGCCCTCAACACCGCTGGCTGTGCCAGGGCAGGAGCTCCCGTCCCAAGTGAGACCCCCCTGGCACAGCCACAGCCCCCCACCCTCCCCAGCTGCTCCCCTGGGGTACCCGAGGCCACCTTGGTCCTGGCACCCCACACTCTGAGCCAACAGCCCAAGCACAAGGGCGGGGTTCCCCAAACCCTCCGGGTGCCCTCCCCACATGCTGGAGCATCCAGACCCACATTCCATGCACACGGAGCCCCACATGCTGAGTCCCCAGCTTGGGACCCCCTCCTACCCCTGTCCCGCCAGCACTGCTGCTTGACTGCGGTGCTGTCAACCCAGCTTTATGGAAGATGATGTAATTAGCTCAAATTTGGAGGGATTAAAATGCAGATAGGGCTAACAAGCACGAGGGCAGCGCAGGGCCCGGGCTTCGGGAGCTAATCCCCAGCCTGTCTGGCAGAAATAGGCCACTCTCCTCCCCACTCCCCGCACAGCCCCCAGCCCGGCTCGGTGGGGCAGGAGGCACGGGCCCACAGCGGGACACCTCACCAGGCACACCTTGCCTCTTTGAACTGCCCCGATGACAAATGCCCAGATCTACACAGCTGTGCCAGGGCTCCAGCACCGAGTGCCCCGCCCCATCCCATTCCCATCCTTCCCAGAACTGATCAATGGGCTGGGTGAGTGCTCCTGGAGCAGCTCTGGTGCCACCAACACATCTGAGTGACCCCTCAGCCCCCTGCCCAGGCACAGGCAGAGCCTGGGATTCAAACAGCCACAAGGACCAGCCAGAACCCCCCCGTTTCTCCTGTGGTGCCACTTGAAGTATCACAGAATCACCTGGGTTTGGAAGACTCCAAGTTCAGTTCACCCTCTTCCCAGCACTGCTGAGGCCACCACAGTGGCCCCAAGTGCCACACCTACCATGGGACAGCCTTTAAGCCGTGAAGAAATAGCTAAAAGGGCCCCAAAACTGTAGCAGGGGCTGAGCCAAGGGCCAGGAGTGCTGGATGGCAGAGCAGCACAGTCCAGCCCTGGGACTCAGCTCCATCCAAGCCCAGCTGAAGGACTGGGCCACACCTTGCTCCTTCTGTAGCCCCCCAAACGCAAGGAAAGCTCCCCATGTGCGCAGCACCTGAATGACCCTCACCATGACACCCAACTTGTACAGCTTCGCCTCACAGAGAGGTGTGGAAATCATCAAACCAGGAATACTGGCATGAAAGGCAGGGAAGGGGGCAGCAGACAAAGCTGCCAAAAACCCCTGAAGCCCCTCAGAATCAGAGCAGAAGGCAGCCCAGGCTGCAGCCCTGCCAAGGCAGAGGAGTGGGCACAAGGCAGGTGTTTAACTCGCTTCCAGGGAAATGTGGAGCCTCCAATCACAGCAAACGAGGCTTCCCACGCTCGAACACATCCCTGTACCGCCACGGGCACACGGCTCCGCTCCGTACATGTGCCCCAAAACCACAGCACACTCGGCTCTCTACGGCTTTTTATTGACAGTTCTGGGGAGAACAGTTCATTTCTTCTTCTCCACGTCCTGCTCTGCCGCTTCCTTGGCGCGCTTGGCGCGGATGCCGAAGAGGCGGGCGTTGGCCCGGGCCATGCGAAGGCTGGCAAAGGCCTTGAAGTTCTTCTCATCTTCTGAGATGACACGCGCCTTCTCCCGCTTGAAAACCTGCAGAGAGAGCGCCAGACAGTCACAGCCTGCCCCTCGGAGCCGTGCTGCTTCCCACAGTTATCCCAGCGAGGAGCAGAGCAGAGCGCTCGTGCCATCTATAGGCCCTGCCCTCAGCCAGCTCCGTTCCCGCTGGCTCCTTGTGCTCCAGCACGGAGCACACTGGAGCAGGAATACAAACAAGCACCACGGGAAACCTGAGGCAGGTTTCACAGAATTGCAGCACTGTTAAGGTTGGTAAAGACCTTTAATAGTGAGCCCAACCGTCAGCCCAGCACCACCATTGTTACCACTAACCACGTTCTCAAGTGCCACATCTACCTGTTTTCTGAACTTGCAAGGGTGGGGATTCCACCACTGCCCTGTGCAGCTGGATGGACAGCCTGATCCGTGGAGCAATTTTCCTAATAGCCAACCTAAACCTCCCCTGGCACAGCCTGAGGCTGCTTCCTCTCCTGTCACTTGTCACCCGAGAGGAGAGCCTGACCCTCCTCCCAGCTCCACCCTCCTGTCAGGGAGTTGTAGGGAATGACCAGAGGTTTGTGACACTACTGAGAGAAGAGAGGATTTAGGGACAAACCGTGACCACAGAACCTGCCTGAGCACTCCTACCCCAGCTAAACCCAAAGCACCCTCAATTTCACAGTTGTCTCAAAGACTAATTCCTGGGGGTTTTTTGATCCAGGATGTGCAATGCCTGGAGACAGCCACCCTGAAGCTGTGAGACAGCAAAGAGAGAACCCTCTCCCCAAGTTCAACCTCAATCACATCACACAGAGAACATGATTAAATGACACTTACATTCTTGATGGGCATAACAGGTCCTGTGAGCTGAGTGGCCATCTTGAGTTCCTCTGGCTGCACAACAGAAGATGAGAATGTTAGAAGAACAGAATTTACACTTCTCTGGTTAAAACCTCAGCTATAGCACAGTCTGTATGCAGGTACCCAGCTTAAACGTGGTGCTAATGATCCTGACAGGAGCTTTAACACCAAACGGTAACGAGCACAGCACTTCAGAAAATTTGGCACTGATGAGCTGCATTGGCAACCCACGCTGTGCCCAGATCCGGCCAGAGCAGCAGCGGCCCTCAGCTCTGCCAGCTGGGACAGCTTTGACACCAACTGTGCTGTTCTCAATTTACACAGGATCATCTAGATTGGAAAGATCTCTATGATTATCAAGTCCAACCTCTGCCTGATTCACACCTTGTCACCAGCACAGAGCACTGAGTGCCACATCCATTCCCTCCCTGGACACCTCCAGGGATGGGGACTCCAAACCTCCCATGGCAGCTCTTTCCAATGTCTGACCACCCCTTCCAGGAAGCAATTCCTGATGTCCAACCTGAACCATCTTCCCTGGCACAAACTGAAGCCATTCCCTGAGCCTCCTTTTCTCTAGGCGGAGCCCCCACAGCTCATGTACACCCAACACGTTTCTCAGCAACTCCTTCTCAGGTTGATTCCAGCTTTTTGTAACAGCACTTCATCAGACAAAGATGACTGAACGTTTACTGAGTACAAGTGACTTCCAGCAAAAACAACTGAATCAGTGTTTCAGCTCAAGGCCCTTCCTCCCTGCTCTGAAGATGGAGTTAAGCAGCTTGGAGCTGCCAGATTCCCCACAAGATAGGAGGACAGTCTGAACTCAACCTTGTGTTCCCTGGATCTACTGGCAGCAGAGCCAGGGAACACAGCTCTGCTCTGATCCTGGAGAGGTTTTAATGAAAACCATTTTTGAATGTCAATAACAATTGCCTTCTGGAGCCTGCCTGGCACACAGCTCTGGAGCCACTCACAGCCTGTCCCTCAGCCTTTCACTGGCAGGACTGACTCCAAGGGCAATTTCCAGCCCTTGTGACAATTTAGCTCTCTAAACCAAAACTCAACTGGCTGAGTAAGGATCAAAACTCCAGGAATCAGCACCAAAACATGCCAGCAGCTGCTCAGCCAAATGCCTGGCTGAAGTGCCACTGCAACCCAGAGTGCCTTGTTAGACTTGACCCTGCCAGGCCTGGCTGTGTGCCAGGCTCAGAACCATGGGGTTCCTATGATGGGAGAAGGCTCAGGAGCTCTGCCTGACACCAAACCACCCAGAACAGGACACATTTCCAGCAGTCAGACACTCACAGAGCTGTCTCCCTTCTTGGGCATGGCTGGCTTCCTCGGGAAGAGGATGAGCTTGGAGTGGTACTCCTTCAGCCTCTGCACGTTGGCCTGCAGGGACTCGGTGGACTTGTTCCGTCTCCGGGGATCCACGGAGATCCCAATAGTCCGGGCAAACTTCTTGTTGATGCCAGCGAGCTGAGAGAGAAGAGTGGTGTCAGCACGATCCCACCAGCCCGGCAGGGATCCAAGCACAGCCAGCAGGGATGCAGGGTCTGGAGAAAGGCTGAGGCCATCAGCTGAGCGAACAGCTACACTAACAAAGGGTGTCCTGGTGAATCTTAGTGCTTAAAATGTTCCTCAGGCTGATTTTTGCAGGTGGATTTCCCTAGAGGAGCAAAGTGCACCCCCTGTGGGACACATTTAAACTTGGATTCAGACGTTTATGAGTCAGCTCATGGACAGCTCTGGCTCACTGAATACTAGGAGCTGCATTACATCAGGATTTTTTTCCTAACCATCTGAAACAACATTAAACAATTTTTTTTTTACTAACTTAAACAAAAAACTCATTTTCATTTTGAAGACTAACAGGTGCATCCTACTTTGTGTTCTGCCATTACCCCAAAATTAAAGAAAATAAGTAATTAAGTATTTGGCACCCAGAAGAACAATTTCCCTGCCTCAGTGCACCAATTTCAGTTATAAATGTTTTAATTAAGACACTGAACCAGGCGCAGAGGCAGTTGGTGGCTGTCAGTGAGTCCTGATGTAGAATCTGATCACAGATACACAGTGGGCAGCCCTGCAGACCAGCTCAGCACACCTGGGCAGCTCACAGGGACAAGGAATGGAGAACAGGAAACACTTCCCACTTTAATCCAGCTGTTTGGACTAATCCAACTATTATTACCCTGAGAAGCTGTGCTGAATGGTTCTTCCTCCTGGTACAATATCCCCTGCTACTCTTAAAACTAAATTGAGCTGGGTTTATTTGGTCCTCAACATGGAAACATTGGCTAAAATATTTAGAATTAGCACAAAAATGTTTAATAAAGAAACAATTTAACAAAGGTGATCTTAATCTTCCCATTCCCCCCAAAAAGTTTAGGAGACTCAAGGCTGTTTTAGAATTCAAATTTCATAGAATCTCTGAATAGGCTGGGTCAGAAGAGACTTTAAAGATCTTTTTAAAGGGTAGGGACACCTTCCACTATCTCAGGGTGCTCCAAGCCCTGTCCAACCTGGCCTTGGCCACTTCCAAGGATGGGGCAGCCACAGCTCCTCAGGGCACTCTGTGCCAGGGCCTGACCACCTTCACAGGGAATAATTTATTTTGTGTATCCAACCTCGATTTCCCCTATTTCAGCTCGATTTTAATGGAATTTTAAATGACAGTCTGACCAGATAAACAGACATTTACCTTACACACACCTGAGGAAGTCACTTTGTGCAGGACAGGAGAAGCAGCTGAGCTCAGACTTTATTTGGATTTTTTGAACTGATGTTCTGTACTTACTTTAAGCTCTTCCAGGCTGAAGCCTCTGCCAGCACGGACTTTTTTGTGGTATCTGATTGTAGGGCACCTCACGATGGGCCGGATGGGCCCAGCCACGGGGCGGGGGGCGATGCGGCGAGCCTTGGCCTGGCGAGCCTTCCTCCTGGAATGGCAGGATCACACGATCCTTCAGCTTGGGAATTACCTCTGAGTCACTGAGTCCAACCTGTGTCTGACCCCCACATTATCCCCACTGGGTGCTGCATCCAGCCCTTCCTTGGGACAGCCCCAGGGATGGGGACTCCAAAACTCCCTGGGCAGTCCCTGCCAAGGCCTGACCTCCCTTTCCAGGAAGAAATTCCTCCTGATGCCCAATCTGAGCCTCCTGCAGCACAGCTTGAGGCTGTTCCCTCTCCTCCTGTCCCTGTTCCTTGGCAGCAGAGCCCAGACCCCCCTGGCTGTCCCCTCCTGTCAGGGAGTTGTGCCTCCTGAGCCTCCCTGTCTCCAGGCTGAGGCCCCCCAGATGCTTCTGGTGCTCCAGACCCATCCCAGCTCCATTCCCTTCTCTAGACACGGCCCAGCTCCTCAACGTCTTGCACTGAGGAACCAAACATAACCTCAGAGTACCAGTGTGACATCAGCAGTACCAGCACAGGGGACAGGCACTGCCCCGCTCCTGCTGGTCACATCACGGCTGATCCTACCCAAGTGTCACTAGCTTCTTGCCCACCTGTGACAGCCACGGCATCTCTACCGCCTGTGCCACTCCTGCCCTCGCAGGGAGGCATCTCCTGCTGCCCTGAGCGGCCGCTGCCATCAGAGACCCAGGGAAGAGCGTTCATCACTGTGGATGCAGCGATTCCGGAGATGTCTCATCACTTGGCTGCGGCTGGCAGCGGCTGGCCCCGAGCACGAGCGGGGAATGTCTAAACAAATCCACGGCGCCCTGGCTTCGGAAGCGGCCCCGCAGCACCCGGGCAAACCCTCCCGCTGTTCCCGGAGCTCCGGGACTCACCTGCGGAGCTTGCGGGCGGGCTGGTTGAACCAGGTGGCGACTCGGCGCTGCCAGTCCTTGTGGAAGTGGGGCTTCAGGATCATCCCATTGCGGCTGGGCGCCATGGCTGCGGCCTGCGAACACGGGCACGGTTAACGCGGGGACACCCGACACGCCCCCAAGCCCCTGCCCGGCGCGGCCCCATCGGCGCCCCCGGGGCCTCCCCCACGGCGCCGCGCGGGG